TGACAACGAAGTTTGACGTACAATTTCATAGCCGACTACTAAATTTTCTCTTATTTTAAGTAACATTACGAAATACGTGTCTTTAGTTATTTAAGTTTTTTATGAAAACGACAAAGTTTTTTAAAAAATAATACGAGTAAGAAAAGTTTTAGAATTAAATTCCACATGAAATGAAGTAGTAATGTATTAAATCCGCCAAAAGGTTAAAAAAATTTGTCCAAATTTAGGGAACCATCACCCTTAATCAACCCTATGAAATACCTCAATTGAGTTCGATTTGCTACCAATTAATACCCTTGGTACACTCATAACGTATACCAAATTTGGTTTTTCTAGCATAATGTATTACCAAGATATTGAACTTTTTAAAAATTTAAGAGCCAACTTTGAAGGCCTATATCTCCTGAGGTGTACAACTTAGTATAGAGGCAAGTTACGTTAAATCATCTTAATTTATTGTCCTCTACATGTCTCTGCTCTGTGTCGGTTCTTATGTGAATCACCCTGTATATACAAAAGGAGGCAGCTTCAAGTGCCTTATCACTGAAAACAGTTTCTTCACTCAAGTTGATGCAGGGTAACCTCAGGGGATACCTCGAAATCCTCAAGGACCAAGGCTAAATCACCTGATTGAAATTAAAACGGACCTTATACCGACAGAATACAATTTCAACCAGCCGTATAAGGTCACATTTAGAAGCGGGGATGAAGCGGGGGCGAAGGGAGGGCCTCAACTAAAAAGAGGAGCCCTAGCCTGGTACACCGATTCATNATTGATCATAACTCAAGGATGAAAGGTGATGGAGAAAAGTTTTTTAGGAATAAGTTGTTTATTGTCAACTAAGAAGACATCATCCATAAACAAATTTAGTTTAGATGTAATGATTTTCAGGTGATAAAGAGAAAATCCCCAAAATGTCAAAATTGGGTACTTTTGGTGTTAAAATCGATCATAACTCAAGAATGAAAGGTGATGGAGAAAAGATGGAGAAAACCTTGTCGTCAAATAACTTTATAACCTATTTGTTAAGTTTGACGTACAATTTCATAGCCGACTACTAAATTTTCTCTTATTTTAAGTAACATTACGAAATACGTGTCTTTAGTTATTTAAGTTTTTTATGAAAACGACAAAGTTTTTTAAAAAATAATACGAGTAAGAAAAGATTTAGAATTAAATTCCACATGAAATGAAGTAGTAATGTATTAAATCCGCCAAAAGGTTAAAAAAATTTGTCCAAATTTAGGTAAGTTACGTTAAATCATCTTAATTTATTGTCCTCTACATGTCTCTGCTCTGTGTCGGTTCTTATGTGAATCACCCTGTATACAGGGTGGTTCAGTTTTTAATCGGGAAACTTTACTAGAACGTAGTAGTTGCCAAAATAACTACTCGGTCGCTACTCTTTTGCTTTCGAGTTATGAGCTGTCAAAGTTGAGCCAAAACTTTACATTTTGTCTTTTATTTCGGGTATAAATAAACCATACAATTTGAAATTTTGTATGTATGTACTACTGGTTAATATCTTATTTTCAACCATACCTTAAACTTCCCTAGCGCCCTCTAAGGGCATGAAATTCACAACCTCTTTGATTTTTTTATAACAACTTTTGAACGCCATGGAATATTAACATAAAAAATATAAAATATATGGGTTGTAAAGCTTATTCATTATTGGTACTTTTTTGTCTCTTTAGTTTTTTCCTTAAAGATAATAGTTTTAGCGTAAAAAAATAAAATATGCTACATTGTACAGGGTGGTTCAAATTCGATGTCCGAATAGGCTACCTCGGAAACTATAAGAGTTAGAAAAAAGTAGCTTAAATGTCATGATCTCGTTTTTTGAGAAACTACTAATGCCAAAAACCTCAAAGCGCTATCGTCTTTTGTTTTTCCCCTAGAGGCCAAAATTGAAAATATCAAAAAGAAAACAGCAAGTGCAATTATCTTGGTTATTATTATAGGTGGAGTATTATAACCAATTGTAAGACATTATATGGACACTTTTTTACAGAGAATTTGATGACGTAATCAAAAAGAATTTTTCGGTTTTAGATTTTGAGATATTATGACAATTTTCGTTTTTTTAAATGGAAACAACCACTGATATAGGGTTTGACTATTTCTTATTGTTTTAGAATAAAGCTAAAAATAAAGTTTTTTTTAGTATCGTCAATGAAATTAAATTTACAGTTTCCTGTAACAGTCAAAAATTATTAATAATCATCAACAATTATGAGGATTCATTTACAGTGAAATGAAACTTACAAGTTCTCAGAGCCAACTTTTATATACTTTTATATGGCGGCACATAGCGGTACATGGCACGATATTTTATTTTTTTACACGGAAACTATTAAGTTTAAGGAAAATACTAAAGAGACAAAAGAGTACCATTAAAGAATTAGCTTTACAACCCATATTTTTTTATGTTAATATACCATAGCGTTAAAAAATCAAGGGGGTGGTGAATTTCATCCCCTTAGAGGACGCTAGGGAAGTTTAACGTATGCTTGAAAATAAGGTCTTAACCAGTAGTAAATACTTACAAAGTTACAAATTCTACGGTTTACTTACAGCCGAAATACAAAAAAAAATGTAAATTTTTGGTTCAACTTTGATCGCTCATAGCTCGAAAACAAAAAAGTTGCGACCCTATGTTTATATAAAGAATTCCTAGTAACAAGTTTAACCAACTTTCTAAAGTTTCCTGATTAAAAACTGAACCACCCTGTATAGGCGAGGAGTATCATACAAATTGCTATCTTATCATTATACCATATTACAATTTGTTTGATATTGAGTTTGTCTCATTTTTAGTTTTTTTCTTTAGTACAGATCATTTTTTGTTTTGCACAAAATATGAGGTGGAGTATAAAAAGAATTTATAATCATACAAAGAATAATACAAAACTTTATAATATACCTGCTATGTTAACAAAATTTTGATTTTAAAATGGCTCAAGACATTTAGGTAGTTGAGGTTAGAAACTAGATAAGAAGTGTTTATGTTTGTTCCTTACAGATCATTATTTCCTCCAATCTAAGCTACCTCTTGGACAGTTGATCATCTTTCTTAAATCTCTTTTGACGTAGAACTATTTCTTTGCAAGGTTTTGTATTGATTTTTCTTCTCAAAGTTTATTGTTTGTAGGTTGCATAAAAAGTAATTAAAAACCTTCTATTCATATTTTATGTACTTCTTCATTACTTTGGGCTTTGTTAAGATTTCCTACTTTATGAAAAATTTGACTTAAGAACTGCTCCATTTAAGTTTCCATATCTTTTTACCAACATGTTATTTACCAAACATGGATTATTACATTTGTAGAGGTTTACTTTGATTTATTTTTATATCACTTTTTTTAATAAATTATGGTGTTGTAAAAAAAACTACTCGTGATAATGTAGCATGCTGAGGACGCGTCCCCAGCAGGCAGATATAGGAATGCCTTAACAGAGCTGATGTCATTAACAGTAATAANCCACCCTGTATAGGCGAGGAGTATCATACAAATTGCTATCTTATCATTATACCATATTACAATTTGTTTGATATT